TAAAAGAGAATGAAATTTAACCATTAGTACTTTGAGTAAAGGTTTAACAAAAATTTGAGTCTCCCTTTATTTGGTGTGAGTTTGGGTATAGGATTGGAGAAGGTTTTTAAGAGTTTTTTTTTAATTCAAATTTAAATTTGATTTTAAAAAAGGGTAAGAGTTGGAGTTGCTCTTATATGTAATTGACGGAGTAATACCGAGAGTGGAAGACTATTGGGTAAATTTATAGGTACTGTGTATATATGTTGAAATTTACAAATTTTCTATACGAGTTGATTTTTTTGGGTGTGATTATAAACTAATAATACTTTTGTAGACTGTAGTATACATAATGGTGCCCATTCTCAACAACCATTATATTGTATGTGATAAAAAAGACTTACTTTTTATTATTGTTTTTGAGGTGTGGTTAGTTCTGTTTATAGATAGAATTGTGTGAATTTTCGTTATTTTAGATAGATTATAATAATGGAAGAAAATGATTTATTTTTTATCATGAGTTTTATTTTTATGGAATTTTGTTGTCCTGCTTTGTAAATTATGATGATAGTTTGCATTTTGTTACTTGATAATTCAAAATCTTAGTTCAAATCGTTGTTACTTGGCACCGTGTGAATTTACTTGATAATTCAAGAATTTGAGTTATTGTTCTCGCTACGTAATTAGATCTATGAGATTTTTTTTTACAATGGACTCTCAATGTTAAGCATGTGTGCAAAATATTTGTTGTTTTGCTTCAAAGAAAATAACTCAAACTTTGATGGCGAAGGAGGCAGGGGCTTGAAAGCAACAAACAATGAGCTGCGCGAAAGTCATTGAGTGTTAGCACAGCCGTGCTCTTGGTTTTCTTTGTTGAACCCTCTATTGCTCAACTTGGTCGTGTTTATAAATAATTGTGTTTACGTAGGAATGTGGTGTTAGGAGTATAACTTAGACAGGTCAACCCGAAAAAAAAAGGACTTGAGTTGAAGTTTTTTAATACTTGGGTTAGGCCTGGGCTGAAAAACACCAATCCGAATTGAATCCGGGTAGTACACGGGTTAGGGCCTTGAGTTATCGGGTTCAACCCGAATATTAAATCGGGTTTAACTCGAATATCAAATCAAGTTGAACTCGAGCATATTTAAAAACAAATATGTAAATCAATAAATTCAATAACATAACTTACAACTAGAGTTTATACTTCACAATGCACTTTAACGAACTCAACCCGAATTCAAACCCGAACCCAACTTGAATTAAATAACCCCAATTCAAACCGAGTCTGTCCAAATTCAACTTGGGTAGTACTCGGGTTGAGTACCTTGGGTTGAAGTTGGGTTAGGATTAAAGATCATATACCTAAGTTTGGGTTAGGGTTGATCCCTTAACCCACCCAAACCCACCTGAATTGTACCCCTATGTGATGTGATGGTGAGTCTAGCATGTAGGATATAATTCTGGAATATAGAAATTGTGTACAAATGTTAGAATTTAGGGGAAACATTGTCCATTATTTTTTGAAAAATAATAGGTCCATTTTGATTTTAAAATTTAAAAGTAGTTCTAAAAATTAAAGAAAAATACATTGCAATTAAAAATATTTATGTTACAAGATCAGCGCTCGATTTTTTTTAATTGCATAGTGCCTTCAGGCACGAGTTATTACTAGTAAATATATATATATATATATATATATATATATATATATAGGGGGGAAGATGAGGCAGTGTGTGTTTAACACGTCTAAGAGATAGAGATAGGAAATGTTGTTGAGCGGGAAAACAAAATTTAGTTATCACTGTAGACCGTCAGATCACTATTTATGAGATGATCTAAATCGTTTTTAATGTTGGGATTACATTATCCGTTGAATATGTTTATGTTTTATCTCAAAACGATGTGAACCTTTTTTTTTGTTTTTTAAATTCAAATTTCGTTCTACTTTATTTTATATATATATTATTTATTGTTAGGGCACACTCATTAATATTGGACTAAAAAGAAAAATAAAAAATATGTATCAATACTGAGAAGTGAAATTGACTTTTTTTTTCTTTTGGTTTAACTGTGAGAGATGTCTGAATCAATTTACGCGCACCTTGATTAATTTTTTTTTCAGTTTGGTCAAAAATAAGTCATTCATGTTAAAACTAGAATATTTATGAAAAATAAATTTCTCATAATTCGATCATAAAAAATTATTAAAATTTAAATTTAAAATATCTAAATTTATAAGTGGTCTCAGTTATCTCTTCAGTCAACTTGGGTTAGGTGGGAATTTTTTTTTTTAAAATTTGGTTCGGAGGGTTAAGACTTTGAAGCTTTGAACTTGTAAGTTATTATTACTTGGAAGTTATTATTAATTGGAGGGCTGAAACTGAAATACTGCAAAGTAAAGCTTAATAATGAGTAAATAATTGGTTAAGTCCTACCTCACTTTACTCCATTGTTACAAAAGATATGAAGCACTTGGCTATTTCGTACAGCTAAGTGGTGGGACACTCTCCACTGGACCATTCCCACGTCATTCCAAGCGTGACGGTGAAGTAACGACACGAAAAAAAAAAAAAAAAACAGAGCCAGATGTCACCTTCTGCTTTCCGTTTAATAATTACACCTGCCACCCCCCAATCCCCTCTCTATTTGTCGCGTGTCAAGCCTCCAGCTTTATACGACGCCGTCCCAAAAGTATCAATGACATAAATTCCGCTACCCCTTAATTTATTTGATTCTCATATTTTTTCATTATTTTATATAAAAATGTTAACAAAGAAATTCATTTAGGCCACCTGTAATTTATCATAACTTCAAGAACTTCCCCAATATTATCTAAACTTTCACTCCACCCCTTTTTAGTTTGGAAAATTTTATTTGAATTTAATATAAGGAATTAACCAATTAAAATTGCTGGATTGAAAATGACTCTATCTAATATTGTAACTCACAATTAATCCAATAATTACATTAAATTATGTCACCAAATTAAGCCTCTATAACTTTGCTAAATTAATTTTATTTGTTTGTTTCACTCACACCCTTGATTATTAATTAATGACCATGTCTAAAGGTTCAAAAAGTTGATAATTTCACAATTATTTTAAAAAAAATTAAAATTACCTTTAAACTTGAATAATATAACGGAAAATAGTACATTCACACCCCTTGTTAATTATTATAACTTCAAAAACAACTATTGTATTACCGGAAATTTTATAAACTTCCTTTATGATTTTATTTGTTAATTATATTAATATGGAAAGTATTTTACAAAATTACCTATAAATTGTTTATACATATCCAAATTAAAGGATTGTAGAGAAAATGAACTGCACTTCTAAAGGGGGTTATAGGATCACATCTTAGTTTTGATCTCTCTTCCTAATAGTTGAATGTGAGAATGCGATAATAGTTGCTTCGCAGTAGAAGTGAGCTAATATATTTTTTAATAAACTTGGTTTACATGAAAATTCAAGTAGTTAAACATATGATTAAGGCAATGTAAGATTTATGTATATATTGTACGTATATGATATAACAAAATTTTGTGAATATTTTAAAAAGTATCATCCCCTTCATTTATAAAATTTATGAGGGGATGATATTGAAGTTTTAGGAAATAGAAAGTGTCCTTGAAGATGTTATATAACTACAAAGGTGGTGTATTAAATTTTCTTTTTACACTTATATAGTCACCTTTGTTTACAAGGTAAAAAGTATTCATTCAATTAGTATCATCGATTGACAAATATGGATGAGCTAAGGACCTAATTTAATGTAGTTATTGAATTAATTGTAAGTTCTAATATTGAGATGAAATCTATTTTTAACCCAATGATTATATTGAATTATTAGTTATTATTTGTGTCTGAAAACACAAAGTAATAAAAATGGTAAATAATAAATATATTTATATTCATATTCAAAATCAAATTACAAACATAAAGAAAATATAAAGGAATTTAAGCATCAATTTGTAATGGGGATGAAAAGTGATGGGCGACAGTGATGGTGGTAGCAGACGGTGATGATTGTGGTGGGTGGTAATGACTGTGACGGAGATAGTGGTGATGACGGCGATGGCAGAGATGGCGATGGCGGTGAAAGTGGCGGTAGGGACGGGGGTGGCAGTAATGGTGATGGCGGTGCGGTGGCGGCAGTGGTGGTGACGACGACGGCAGTGGTAAAGGTAGTGGTGGGACAGTTTCAAACATTATTTTTTTAAAAGTATTTATGAGAAATAATTTTTAAAAATATTTTTAAAAAGTTATTCCAACACACACCCTTAGGTCCTATTTTTTTTATTAAATTTAGAGTATTAATATTAGTCGTTAGATTAACTTTAAAATAAAATTTAAAGCGATCTCAACCACAAATATCAAAAATTATTTTGTTTATTTTTTAAAATTTAAATTATAAGTTAGTTTATTATATATATATATATATATATATATATATATATATCATAAGATTAAGTTCCCAAAATAGTGGCACCTGATTCTATAATGCCTCTTCTTATGGATTGTCCTAATTAATCAAATGCATATTGTTTCTTTAAAAAAAAAATTAAGGATTGTCAATGGAGTTTCACAAAAGAGCAATACTATAGAGACTTAATTTGAGAATTTAATTCAATGTAGTCGTCGGAGTAATTATGAATTTCAATGTTATGTGAAACTCACTTCTAATCCAATCAGAATTAGGTATCCATGTTAAGTCGAAATAATATTTTCCTTCCCAAAATAGAAAAGGTGTTTCTGAATTTATGTCAATCTATAGGGGTGTAGATGAAATTTTCCGTCCGTTACTGATTCGATGTGTTCCGTTGTTAACACCTGTCTTTATCAAGTTATTGTTTCNAATAGAAAAGGTGTTTCTGAATTTATGTCAATCTATAGGGGTGTAGATGAAATTTTCAGTCCGTTACTGATTCGATGTGTTCCGTTGTTAACACCTGTCTTTATCAAGTTATTGTTTCTTTCTCTCTCTCTCTATCTTCCGTACTTCTTCCTCACATAGCTTCTGCCTACACATATCCCTGCGTATTCATCTTATTGTCGGTTCCTAAAGTTTCTTTCTCTTCCCTTTCAATCCACGGTTTTATTTCAATATCTCTTCCTCTATTGATATACATTCAATTCATTGCCCCTCTCTCTCTCTTCGCAGGCTTTGTTCAAGGGGGAGAGAGAGGAGAGATTTTAACGATCGTTTAACGGTTAGTTTGAACCCCCAACTTTTCTAGGGTTCAACCGCCTAATTGTACTTGTAAACACGATTCGATTTATTTGATTAGGTGGCAATGACGTGTGAATTGAATTATGAGGATGAGGGTGGGGTTGTGCCGATGTTGAATCTGAGGATTGGGGACACGAATGGGGACTATTATGTCAAATTGAAGGGATCGGAGGAGGGTTTTCACGGTGGTGATGATGGTGGGGCCGCGTGTTCGTCTTCGGGAATGATGAGTAGCAGTAGATGGTGCTCGCTCTGGTGGTGGGCGAAGCTCGTGTTGTTGTTCTCATTCTTGGGGGTTTTGGCTGCTGTTTTCCTCAAATGGGTCGGACCCTTCTTCATGGATAAGGTCACTATTCATTAGAATAATATTTATTTTTATTCCTTTGAATTCTATGAATACATGTGTATTTATTTAAATTATTTGGCATAATTCATGCTGAGACAATAATATAGCTCATAATTGCTTTTGAGAGTGTTTATAAATGTGGCAATGGCAAATATCTGCTTATTTTATATGCTGCCAGCATGCCACCATGTTTTTTTTTATCCCAAGATTATAAAACTGTCTTTTCCCTCTTAGTTGGATCAAAAATGTTTTTCCTGTTTAAGAATCACAAATACTGCATGAGGCCTGCTATTTAATCTACCAATAGTTTCCACCTTGGAATTACCAGAGCATAGTGTGTTCTGTTTGTTATGATGTGAGAATATTCAAAGTTTGAGTGAACATATTCACAATGTTGTTTTAGGATGGGGGTATAGCATGAAGATGGTTCCTTGTCTTTTGTGAGGAAGTGAGAGCTGCGAAAAATGGGCAGGAAAATGTTGAAATATTGGCAAGCTTTTGTTTGAGTAAGGAAAATAGTTGTGCACTCTCGAGTATGAGACACGATAAATGTGTTTTGCCTGTGGATTATGTTTTTTCCTTGGCAGAACATGGTTGATGTTAAATNCGAAAAATGGGCAGGAAAATGTTGAAATATTGGCAAGCTTTTGTTTGAGTAAGGAAACTAGTTGTGCACTCTCGATTATGAGACACGATAAATGTGTTTTGCCTGTGGATTATGTTTTTTCCTTGGCAGAACATGGTTGATGTTAAATAACCCAAGCATTCTATACCCATTCATTCTGGAAATATTGTACCAATAACTACTTTCAAACACTTTGCTGTAGGCATAAGACTGATTGTCAATATGAAGTGGGTGTCATCTAGAAAAAGATCAAATCTAATTGATCTGCATTTTACCCTGACTGATCATCTTCAACATACAAATCTGCATACTCAAAGTGTTCCTACTATCCATGTCAACAAATTCTGCTAGAGGCACCGTCTAATGTCCTCTTCTANCCAATAACTACTTTCAAACACTTTGCTGTAGGCATAAGACTGATTGTCAATATGAAGCGGGTGTCATCTAGAAAAAGATCAAATCTAATTGATCTGCATTTTACCCTGACTGATCATCTTCAACATACAAATCTGCGTACTCAAAGTGTTCCTACTATCCATGTCAACAAATTCTGCTAGAGGCACCGTCTAATGTCCTCTTCTATTTTTGCATTTTATTATCCCTAATGGCTAATGGCAAGCATGATTGCAAATAGTCCTTTGTTCTTTCACATTTTTGATTGATGGCTTATATTTTGCAGGAGATCATTCCTATAATAAATTGGGAGAAGGCAACATTTAGCACGCCAGTGCTTGGACTTCTAATCTTTGTTTCCGTGGCATTATTCCCTACCTTCCTTTTACCGTCTTCACCTTCCATGTGGGTGGCAGGGATGACTTTCGGTTATGGGTTTGGATTTCTACTCATCATGGGAGGGGTGGCCATTGGCATATCACTTCCATATTTTATTGGTTCTCTTTTCCATCATAAAATCCAAGTGCGTATCATTGTGTTTCTAAATCCTTCTTCGTCTTTTGTTTTTAGGGGAAATCCCTTTCATGTTTTTTATTGCAAATGAAGACTCTTTTCCTGTTGTCCAAATTTAAAGTTAAAACTCTTTCGGTTCTTATGTAGGGTTGGATAGAAAGATATCCTAAGAATGCTTCCGCCATAAGGTTAGCTGGCGAAGGAAATTGGTTTAATCAGCTTCGAGCTGTCGCATTAATCAGGATCTCTCCTTTCCCATACATTATATACAATTACTGTGCTGTGGCGACCAATGTTAGGTATGCTCCATACTTATTTGGGTCACTGATGGGAATGGTGCCGGAAATTTTTCTTACTATATACACGTAAGTATACTCTCCCTATCTCTCTCTCTTCCCTCTCTCAAATTTTTTTTTTCTGGGTGGCATGTAAAGAATGCTCATTTGTTTGATAGCCTTGAAAACTTGCCTAGATAATTGTGTTCATGCATACCTCGATGAACTTCATGTTTTTTTGAATTCAGATTAGTTGCAGGAACACATATATAAACCTCAATGAGATGCCATTGTCCATAATTGTCTAGGTTGTTGCACTCCACATTTTACTTGTTTGAGTGATGATTTCCTTGAAGTGTTGATTGCCTTGCTGCATTGTTCTTTTTCCTCTTGCTGCTGATGATAATTATGATAAATAGTTAAGTACAATTCATATTACTTTTAATAGTGTTTTTGCATCGATTTTTATGCATTCTTAGGTTGGTGAATGGGACTTGGTTTTTGTGCCATGGAAATGGACAAAGAGTATGGTATATCCTGTTTGTTTGTGATGCTTGAGAGTTACCAAGATTTTTAAAGTGGTGCGACTTGAGAGTGTTAAAAGTAATGCCACCACCTTTGTAGATCATCACATAATCTGATTGTGATGGAAGTTTATGAGCCACGTGTTTTTGGCAGTCATGGAAGTTATTCTTGTTTGATTACTGTAAACCTGGGTGCTTCAATCAAAAGGATTTGTATTTTCAGAGTGTTGAAATTTGAAAATGAAATGTGGTGTACTTGGTTGATACATTGTTCAATGTAAGAGGGTCATTCGGTATGGGTGCATGGGAAAATATTTATTATTATCAGAAAAGATTATTAGTCTTGTTTTGTACAGATCTTTTTTGAGAGTGAAGCTCTGAGAGCCCTCTGAAGCTGCCCCTCTGAAACTGATTTACTCAACATGCAAGGAATGACATGAAGAATGAAAGCCTAGCCACTTATGTTCATGAGCGATGACGTATTAGGAAAGCAATAGAAAAAAAAATTACCTCTGTGGTCATCCATGGTCAGGAAGGAAAAGCTCCTTTTTGTTCTTCCTTTTCCTTTACTTACAGATAGACCAGATTGGCCAGTTCTGCCATAAGTATCTCTAGAAAATTCCTATTTTGCTAAATCCTCAACTGGACTCCGTAAAATAAACCAGAAGAGGAGTGCTGGGTTACTGACTTAATAAAGAACCTCTAATCGCATTAGTGACTGAATAACCCAATGTTGTGTGTCACATTCTCATTGGACAAAAAAATGTGGTATGATACCGAAAAGTAACGTTTGGGACTGAAGACGGACCGTTTCTGTTGATACTATTTGTACCAACTGTGATTTGGCTTACTGAAGAAGTCTCAAATCAGCAAGGTCAACTTAAGGCACCGGAGCCATCCCAGTAAAAAATGATGCCTTTTGGTGACTGATTGCTTTTAGGGCAGACATATGGGCAATATTGTGTCCTCCAGCTCCCATATCACTGGAATCTTATAGTTTTTTTCAAGAAGGGGCATTATAATGTTGTTTATTGTGTCTTCCCATATCACTAGAATCTTATATTTTTTTTCAAGAAGGGGGGCATAAGCATTATAATGTTGGTTGTGGCAGTTTACATGGCGTTGTCAACATGGATGACTAAAGGACCTTGGATTGGTAGCACTAGGCCATGCCTGCCAAAAATTCTACAGGAAAAGAGATATTCCCTAGTAGGGCTCTTGATGCCTTTTTACCTGGAGCATGTGCTGTATGCGGCCATTTTTGTAAGCCTGAAGACAAATATTAGCTTATTTTCTTGCCCAGGAAACAATGTTGACTACATTTTGACTTTTCATGTTTGGTGTTAGTTTCTTCTTCTTCCCCATCTTTACACTATATGTAATTCATGCCTCCAGTTGCCCGAGACCTATGTTACTGCATATACTATTTTGGTTTGCAGAGTTCCATCTACCTAATGGATGGGTTGTCTGGGTAGTTACTGATATTAATTTCTGTGTTTTCTTGTTTCTTATCTTTTCAAGGTTTTTTCTTTCAAGTTGTATTTATGCAGGAATTAATGAAATGTTGCTCCTTTTCTTATGTTGCTGTACATGTACTAATAAGCAGGATGGTTCTCAACCACATCCCCCTCCCCCCCTTTTTCCTTTCCTTTCCCTTTTCTTTTGCAGTTAATGTTTTCCCAACTCATGGGCATTTTTTTTTTCTTGTAGGGGAATCCTGATCCAAACATTGGCTGATGCTTCACATGATCGACATTCCCTTTCAGCGCCACAGATAATTTTCAATGTTTTTGGGTTTGGCTTAACTGTCATTACCACGGTGATAGTTACAACATATGCAAAAAGTCGGCTCAAGGAATTACAGAAGGACGAGGAGCTATTACTGCAGTAAGCTTTGGTTTTCTTCCCGGTATGGATCAAGGCAGGAAATCACCTGCCACTAAGTCAGGTCAGAATTGCACATATGATAGGGAAGCATTGCTGGGCTGGGTGCTATTTATTGATCTGCTCTAAATACTTGGGAGGTTGATCTCCAGTTATTTGGTGTCAGTGGGCATAATTTGGAAGGAGGGAGAGAGTCAAGACAAAACAGCTAACATGGTTGACATCCATACTGGACCAGTATAAAAAGAAGAATAATTGTTGATTAATGTTCTCTCTCTCTTTCTCTCTCTTACACAATGTGAACTGGCATTGTATGTAATTAAAATGGCTGCTTTAAAGGTTGAATTGGAGCTTTGTGCAAAAATCCCACAAACTNATGTAAACCTGGGTGCTTCAATCAAAAGGATTTGTATTTTCAGAGTGTTGAAATTTGAAAATGAAATGTGGTGTACTTGGTTGATACATTGTTCAATGTAAGAGGGTCATTCGGTATGGGTGCATGGGAAAATATTTATTATTATCAGAAAAGATTATTAGGCTTGTTTTGTACAGTTCTTTTTTGAGAGTGAAGCTCTGAGAGCCCTCTGAAGCTGCCCCTCTGAAACTGATTTACTCAACATGCAAGGAATGACATGAAGAATGAAAGCTTAGCCACTTATGTTCATGAGCGATGACGTATTAGGAAAGCAAGAGAAAAAAAAATTACCTCTGTGGTCATCCATGGTCAGGAAGGAAAAGCTCCTTTTTGTTCTTCCTTTTCCTTTACTTACAGAAAGAANAAAATTACCTCTGTGGTCATCCATGGTCAGGAAGGAAAAGCTCCTTTTTGTTCTTCCTTTTCCTTTACTTACAGATAGACCAGATTGGCCAGTTCTGCCATAAGTATCTCTAGAAAATTCCTATTTTGCTAAATCCTCAACTGGACTCCGTAAAATAAACCAGAAGAGGAGTGCTGGGTTACTGACTTAATAAAGAACCTCTAATCGCATTAGTGACTGAATAACCCAATGTTGTGTGTCACATTCTCATTGGACAAAAAAATGTGGTATGATACCGAAAAGTAACGTTTGGGACTGAAGACGGACCGTTTCTGTTGATACTATTTGTACCAACTATGATTTGGCTTACTGAAGACGTCTCAAATCAGCAAGGTCAACTTAAGGCACCGGAGCCATCCCAGTAAAAAATGATGCCTGTTGGTGACTGATTGCTTTTAGGGCAGACATATGGGCAATATTGTGTCCTACAGCTCCCATATCACTGGAATCTTATAGTTTTTTTCAAGAAGGGGCATTATAATGTTGTTTATTGTGTCTTCCCATATCACTAGAATCTTATATTTTTTTTCAAGAAGGGGGGCATAAGCATTATAATGTTGGTTGTGGCAGTTTACATGGCGTTGTCAACATGGATGACTAAAGGACCTTGGATTGGTAGCACTAGGCCATGCCTGCCAAAAATTCTACAGGAAAAGAGATATTCCCTAGTAGGGCTCTTGATGCCTTTTTACCTGGAGCATGTGCTGTATGCGGCCATTTTTGTAAGCCTGAAGACAAATATTAGCTTATTTTCTTGCCCAGGAAACAATGTTGACTACATTTTGACTTTTCATGTTTGGTGTTAGTTTCTTCTTCTTCCCCATCTTTACACTATATGTAATTCATGCCTCCAGTTGCCCGAGACCTATGTTACTGCATATACTATTTTGGTTTGCAGAGTTCCATCTACCTAATGGATGGGTTGTCTGGGTAGTTACTGATATTAATTTCTGTGTTTTCTTGTTTCTTATCTTTTCAAGGTTTTTTCTTTCAAGTTGTATTTATGCAGGAAGTAATGAAATGTTGCTCCTTTTCTTATGTTGCTGTACATGTACTAATAAGCAGGATGGTTCTCAACCACATCCCCCCCCCCCCTTTTTTCCTTTCCTTTCCCTTTTCTTTTGCAGTTAATGTTTTCCCAACTCATGGGCATTTTTTTTTTCTTGTAGGGGAATCCTGATCCAAACATTGGCTGATGCTTCACATGATCGACATTCCCTTTCAGCGCCACAGATAATTTTCAATGTTTTTGGGTTTGGCTTAACTGTCATTACCACGGTGATAGTTACAACATATGCAAAAAGTCGGCTCAAGGAATTACAGAAGGACGAGGAGCTATTACTGCAGTAAGCTTTGGTTTTCTTCCCGGTATGGATCAAGGCAGGAAATCACCTGCCACTAAGTCAGGTCAGAATTGCACATATGATAGGGAAGCATTGCTGGGCTGGGTGCTATTTATTGATCTGCTCTAAATACTTGGGAGGTTGATCTCCAGTTATTTGGTGTCAGTGGGCATAATTTGGAAGGAGGGAGAGAGTCAAGACAAAACAGCTAACATGGTTGACATCCATACTGGACCAGTATAAAAAGAAGAATAATTGTTGATTAATGTTCTCTCTCTCTTTCTCTCTCTTACACAATGTGAACTGGCATTGTATGTAATTAAAATGGCTGCTTTAAAGGTTGAATTGGAGCTTTGTGCAAAAATCCCACAAACTTTTGATCTGCAGAATCAAGATTCTTGTATTCGTTGACTAAAATTCGGTTAAAAGTTTGTGATGTGAATGATAGCATAATGTTAATATTTTTGACACCATATGTATATCTTTGTCATCCGTAATACCATTCTAATCCTCGTATTGTTGAAATTTTCTCTATATCTCAAAACCCTCTTCCAAAAAAAAAATNATCAAGATTCTTGTATTCGTTGACTAAAATTCGGTTAAAAGTTTGTGATGTGAATGACAGCATAATGTTAATATTTTTGACACCATATGTATATCTTTGTCATCCGTAATACCATTTTAATCCTTGTATTGTTGAAATTTTCTCTATATCTCAAAGCCCTCTTCCAAAAAAAAAAAANTTTTTTCCTTTCCTTTCCCTTTTCTTTTGCAGTTAATGTTTTCCCAACTCATGGGCAATTTTTTTTTCTTGTAGGGGAATCCTGATCCAAACATTGGCTGATGCTTCACATGATCGACATTCCCTTTCAGCACCACAGATAATTTTCAATGTTTTTGGGTTTGGCTTAACTGTCATTACCACGGTGATAGTTACAACATATGCAAAAAGTCGGCTCAAGGAATTACAGAAGGACGAGGAGCTATTACTGCAGTAAGCTTTGGTTTTCTTCCCGGTATGGATCAAGGCAGGAAATCACCTGCCACTAAGTCAGGTCAGAATTGCACATATGATAGGGAAGCATTGCTGGGCTGGGTGCTATTTATTGATCTGCTCTAAATACTTGGGAGGTTGATCTCCAGTTATTTGGTGTCAGTGGGCATAATTTGGAAGGAGGGAGAGAGTCAAGACAAAACAGCTAACATGGTTGACATCCATACTGGACCAGTATAAAAAGAAGAATAATTGTTGATTAATGTTCTCTCTCTCTTTCTCTCTCTTACACAATGTGAACTGGCATTGTATGTAATTAAAATGGCTGCTTTAAAGGTTGAATTGGAGCTTTGTGCAAAAATCCCACAAACTTTTGATCTGCAGAATCAAGATTCTTGTATTCGTTGACTAAAATTCGGTTAAAAGTTTGTGATGTGAATGATAGCATAATGTTAATATTTTTGACACCATATGTATATCTTTGTCATCCGTAATACCATTCTAATCCTCGTATTGTTGAAATTTTCTCTATATCTCAAAACCCTCTTCCAAAAAAAAAAAAAAATTTGACAAATCTCTTGGAGCATTGAGTGTCTTTTGGCACACTCAGAAAAGATGTTACTTTTTCTGTTTTTCGTTTTAAATTTCAGTCAATGTTTGAGCAAAATAATGTGATTCTTTTTTCTCAGTTACGAGTGGGACTCACTCTTATGCAAAGGGCAACTGATTGAGGTTGAACTGTGATGAAGGTCAACTTGAAGAGTTGGAATGCCTACCTGCTTCTCAATTTCAATGCTNATTTCAGTCAATGTTTGAGCAAAATAATGTGATTCTTTTTTCTCAGTTACGAGTGGGACTCACTCTTATGCAAAGGGCAACTGATTGAAGTTGAACTGTGATGAAGGTCAACTTGAAGAGTTGGAATGCCTACCTGCTTCTCAATTTCAATGCCTATTAAAGAGTAACTGAAAACGAGGACAATCTTTATTGATTGGAGAGAATATATTTAAAACCCACAACCCCACCCAACAAAAAAAAATGAATATTATAACTAAATATTGTAGAATATTTTGGGAGAATCATTTCTATTTTTATTTTGTGTGCCAAGGGAGTGNTGGAGAGAATATATTTAAAACCCACAACCCCACCCAACAAAAAAAAATGAATATTATTATAACTAAATATTGTAGAATATTTTGGGAGAATCATTTCTATTTTTATTTTGTGTGCCAAGGGAGTAGAGGGGACTTGGGGTCGGGTTAAATTTGTCCTAGATGGTAAGAGAGATAGGAAGAGAGATTCCTATTTATATTTTTTTTTTGGTTCAATGATCAAGATTGTTTGGGTCAATTTACGCGCACTTCGATTAATTTTTTTTTTAATTCGGTCAAAGACAGATCATTGGCGCCGAGATTAGAGTATTGATGGGGGATAAATCTCTCATGATCTAATTCTTAAATAATTATCAGAATTCGAACTCAATATATCTAAGTTTATAATTTGTGGCGACTACCACTTGAACTACATAAAAATGAGAGATTCTTATGAAGACCACGGTAACATGTTTGGGCAAAGATTCTTTCTGAGAGAGAGAGATTAAAATTGACATCCACTCAGGTTCACAATGTCATACAACTATCAACTCACATGGTGTATTGAGCTGGCCAGATAGGTGTGCTACAACTGGGGGGCTTCATGGTACCACAAGCCTATAGAAATTGTCATAACCAACATTATACAAATTGTCACTCTCAACAAATTTATATCATTTTTTCAACTATTCTACATTTTTTTTCCCCTAATCTCTTCTATCAATTAGTATGTCTGTTGGATTATCGGATTTTACTAGGTCCCATTAACATTCAATTACTGTGGTTACATCATTTCAATTGATTAGGAAAAATTAGTTGGAATAAAACTATTATTTTTAGAATTAGAACAATATTGAAAATACGATCAAATCATCTAAAATTTGGGTTGCCAATATTGAGATTTTGGAGTTTGTAAGGACAACATGATCGTTTGCTAACCAAGCCATTCTCGTTGTGCAGCTATATTTGGAAGATTTCACCACAAATTTTGTATAAACTTTTTTTATTATCGATCATAATATTTTATGATTAAGCATAAGTTTTTGAGTTGTAACTCATATCCTAAAAAGTTATAAGAAAAAATTTCAGTCACACTCCTTCTAATTTATCATATCTTTAAAGATACTCTATCTATTATCCAAAATATTATTCCCTCTACAATTAAACCACAAAAAAAATTATTTGAAATACTAAAATTGTCCATGCATAACCTTCAAATAATATTTATACATAAAATTTGAGTAAAATTCAAGCTGATTAAAATTACTTTTTTCTACATATTAAAATTTGAGTCGATTAAAATTCAATTCGGGTTGATTAAATTTTATTTTTTTTACTCATTAAAATTCGAACCTATTAAAATTCCTTTTTTTACTTAGTAAAATTTTAGTCGATTTGAGCTCAACCTGAATTGTTAGCACCGATTAAAATTCGATTTGAGTTAATTAAAATTTATATTTTTTTTACTTATTAAAATTCGTTTCAATTAAAATTTAATTTAAGTTGATTAAAATTTATTTTTTATGCATTAAAATTTGAGTCAATTAAAATTTATATTTTTTTACGTATCAAAATTTAAGTCAATTAAAATTTAATGTGTATAAAAAATTCATAAAATAGAAGGAGTTTTATTGAAGATATATTTATATCGAGGGAGTGTGGGTAAATTTTTTTAAAAAAATATATATTGAATAATTTAAAAAAATTATGTTTTAATTAAAAATTTTAATCTGACAGGGATGTTCTTTAAAAATATAATAATTAGAATAGAGATGTTACTGATTTTTTCCTAAATTATAATAATGTTATTTTTGATACGATAGCAAATGAGGGAGGTAGTCGTTCTCTTACGCTAATATGGGAAGGAGACAAAAGGCTGCAATGCGACAGTGTGGGGTTCACTTCAATTGAGTTGCCAACTACTTTTTTGGTATTGTTTTGTCCCTTGAAGAAGCATTCCAAGTCTAAAAGAGAAACACCAATCAGCATGGCTCCAAAGAAGTGGACGTGGACATTATGGTAAATTCACTACTCCCAATGGCTGTTTGTTTGATTCTTCTTGTCCTACTTAGTCAAACATGAAAAAGACAAGTTTATTTGAAAACCAAAATGAAAAAGACTCTACAACGGGGAAAAGAAGCCTCACCCGAAAGATGGTTTAGCGGACTCATTTCGACACAATTAATAAACGAAATAAATATAAAAAAAATTAATTAAAACAAATATAGGATATAATTTCACACCAACATCCTGTAGTGACATGATTGAGAGACCCATCATAATACACCATTTTCAGATTGCATAGTAGTATTATGCTTAGACCCATCTCCNTAAGATTCTTTCTGAGAGAGAGAGATTAAAATTGACATCCACTCAGGTTCACAATGTCATACAACTATCAACTCACATGGTGTATTGAGCTGGCCAGATAGGTGTGCTACAACTGGGGGGCTTCATGGTACTACAAGCCTATAGAAATTGTCATAACCAACATTATACAAATTGTCACTCTCAACAAATTTATATCATTTTTTCAACTATTCTACATTTTTTTTCCCCTAATCTCTTCTATCAATTAGTATGTCTGTTGGATTATCGGATTTTACTAGGTCCCATTAACATTCAATTACTGTGGTTACATCATTTCAATTGATTAGGAAAAATTAGTTGGAATAAAACTATTATTTTTAGAATTAGAACAATATTGAAAATACGATCAAATCATCTAAAATTTGGGTTGCCAATATTGAGATTTTGGAGTTTGTAAGGACAACATGATCGTTTGCTAACCAAGCCATTCTCGTTGTGCAGCTATATTTGGAAGATTTCACCACAAATTTTGTATAAACTTTTTTTATTATCGATCATAATATTTTATGATTAAGCATAAGTTTTTGAGTTGTAACTCATATCCTAAAAAGTTATAAGAAAAAATTTCAGTCACACTCCTTCTAATTTATCATATCTTTAAAGATACTCTATCTATTATCCAAAATATTATTCCCTCTACAATTAAACCACAAAAAAAATTATTTGAAATACTAAAATTGTCCATGCATAACCTTCAAATAATATTTATACATAAAATTTGAGTAAAATTCAAGCTGATTAAAATTACTTTTTTCTACATATTAAAATTTGAGTCGATTAAAATTCAATTCGGGTTGATTAAATTTTATTTTTTTTACTCATTAAAATTCGAACCTATTAAAATTCCTTTTTTTACTTAGTAAAATTTTAGTCGATTTGAGCTCAACCTGAATTGTTAGCACCGATTAAAATTCGATTTGAGTTAATTAAAATTTATATTTTTTTTACTTATTAAAATTCGTTTCAATTAAAATTTAATTTAAGTTGATTAAAATTTATTTTTTATGCATTAAAATTTGAGTCAATTAAAATTTATATTTTTTTACGTATCAAAATTTAAGTCAATTAAAATTTAATGTGTATAAAAAATTCATAAAATAGAAGGAGTTTTATTGAAGATATATTTATATCGAGGGAGTGTGGGTAAATTTTTTAAAAAAAATATATATTGAATAATTTAAAAAAATTATGTTTTAATTAAAAATTTTAATCTGACAGGGATGTTGTTTAAAAATATAATAATTAGAAGAGAGATGTTACTGATTTTTTCCTAAATTATAATTATGTTATTTTTGATACGATAGCAAATGAGGGAGGTAGTCGTTCTCTTACGCTAATATGGGAAGGAGACAAAAGGCTGCAATGCGAGAGTGTGGGGTTCAATTCAATTGAGTTGCCAACTACTTTTTTGGTATTGTTTTGTCCCTTGAAGAAGCATTCCAAGTCTAAAAGAAAAACACCAATCAGCATGGCTCCAAAGAAGTGGACGTGGACATTATGGTAAATTCACTACTCCCAATGGCTGTTTGTTTGATTCTTCTTGTCCTACTTAGTCAAACATGAAAAAGACAAGTTTATTTGAAAACCAAAATGAAAAAGACTCTACAACGGGGAAAAGAAGCTTCACCCGAAAGATGGTTTAGCGGACTCAATTCGACACAATTAATAAACGAAATAAATATAAAAAAAATTAATTAAAACAAATATAGGATATAATTTCACACCAACATCCTGTAGTGACATGATTGAGAGACCCATCATAATACACCATTTTCAGATTGCATAGTAGTATTATGCTTAGACCCATCTCCTATTTACGTTAAAAAAAAAAAACAACCCATTGCCTTCTGAAAAGTCTTTGTCGCATTAAACTCACCGAAACTTCAATGTACAACCTCATTCAACTCAACCAACCTCTCTCCTCTTTATCATTTTGTTCTTGTAATGAGTCTGCGGTGGTGGTGATGGCGGTCTTGGCTTGGTTGGTGGAGGGAATAAATGCTTTTGTGTTGAGGACAGACCCTACATGGTTATTTTGATGTTGAAGACTCAAGAGAGAGAAAGAGAGAGAGACAGAATGGGTTCTCATTTTGTTTGCTAATTCATCCCTTTCATCAATATTACACACACACGCAGAGAGAGAGAGAGAGAGAGAGAGTGTGTGTGCACATGGTGGCAGCCATTGAAATATAGAGACTTGTCATAAGCAGTTATTAAAAATTGCCTCACCCGCTTCCTTTTCCAGCCAAGCCACGGCAATTTCATGTCATCACACCTCATCATCTGGCATGCTTAACACTTACCCTTTTTCTATTTCTCTACCACCTTGCCCACTTTCACCATCTTGAAGCTCTGGACACAGAGAATTTAGGGTTTTGATTCTTTTGGTATCAGAAAGATTCCCAGAAAAAAAGAACCGAAAATTGGGTACCCACTAAACTTCTCTTCCAACCCATTCCCACAAATGTACTTCCTTTTCTTCATCTATTGAAGCCAGATTCAGCATTGAAAATGTTACTGTTTAGTATCGATCGCGATGTTGTTTTTCTCATAACGGAACCCAATTTACATGAAAGTAGCTGTGTCTGAGCTCAACCGGAAATTATGGCATTTCACAATCGGATCCGGCATTCATAATGCCGTCACACTGTCATTAGCATGAAGAGGTTAGGATACTATTTTAACCACCTCCTTTTGTTCTTGTCACTTGCTCTTTTTGACTTGGCCAGAGTTGTTCCAGTTACTGAAAAGGAGATATTGCTCCAATTCAAAGGTAACATTACAAGTGATCCCTCTAATAGCTTGAATTCATGGGATGTTAATAGAAACCCTTGTGTAGATTACGGTGGTGTTTTTTGCAATTCAGATGGAAATGTAGTTAAGATTGTCTTGTGGAACACTAGCCTTGGGGGAGTGTTGTCTCCAGCCTTATCGGGATTGAAATCTCTACGGATTATTACTTTGTTCGGGAACCGATTCACCGGTAACATTCCATTGGAGTATGGAGAGATTGGTACATTGTGGAAGATTAATTTGAGTTCCAATGCGTTATCTGGGTCCATTCCAGATTTTCTAGGGGATTTGCCAAACATTCGGTTTCTTGATTTGTCCAAAAATGGGTATACGGGAGAGGTTCCACCATCTCTATTCAAGAACTGTTACCAAACCAAGTTCATTTCTCTTGCTCATAACAATCTTTCAGGTTCAATTCCTGTATCAATTGGGAATTGCTTGAATCTTCTTGGGATTGATTTATCTTTCAACAGTTTAATTGGTGGCCTTCCTTCACAAATTTGTGACATTCCGGGATTACTGTACTTAACTTTGAGGAGCAATTTGTTGACAGGAGGTGTTCAAGACCAGGTTTCAGGATGTGGGAGAATAGAGCTTTTGGATCTTGGTACCAATATGTTTTCTGGGTTGCCCCCTTTTGGAGTCCTTGGATTCACAAATCTTACACATTTCAATATTTCGCAAAATGGGTTTGAAGGGGAGGTTCCAGAGATTGAAACCTGCAGTCAAAGATTGGAAATTTTAGATGCTTCTGGGAATGATTTGTATGGGGATATCCTGTTGAGCATTACAAGATGCAATGGCCTCAAGTATTTGGACTTGGGGTTTAACAGGCTTAATGGAAGCATCCCAATTGAGATTGCTGATTTGAAGAGGCTTTGGGTTATTCGATTGGGGAATAATTCGATAGATGGGACAATCCCAGCAGAGTTTGGGAGCATTGAATTCCTTCAAGTTCTTGACTTGCACAATCTCAACCTTGGTGGAGAGATCCCCACTGATATAAGCAATTTGAGGTTTCTTCGTGAGCTGTGAGTCCAATCACCCCATCTTCTACTGTTCTGTGTTATTGATATTACTTTTAACTGAAGTTGAATAAAAACCTAAAATGTTACTGCAGGGATGTTTCTGGCAATGCTTTACAGGGAGAAATTCCACAAACCCTTTACAACATGTCATACCTTGAAATTCTAGACCTACATCATAACCAGCTCAATGGAAGCATACCATCAACTCTGGGAAATTTGTCCAATCTGCAAATTTTAGATCTGTTGGATAATTTTTTATCTGGGCAAATCCCTTTTTCTCTTGGAAATTTGAAAAACCTAACTCGTTTTAATGTTTCTTACAACAACTTATCTGGGGCAATTCCTTCCATTCCGAACATCCAGAGTTTTGGAGCCTCGGCATTTTTTCACAATCCAGGGCTCTGCGGGGTTCCTTTGGACATAGCATGCACAGGCAATGCTACAACTCCGTCAACAGGAAAACCCATGGCATTGACAGTTCCCGCTATTTTAGCAATTGTTGCTGCTGCTGTGATCCTCACTGGCGTCTGTGTGATAACCATCATCAACATGAAGGCTCGCAAAAGGAGAAGAGACGACGAGACAATGATTGTGGAGAGCACTCCGCTAGCTTCAACAGACTCAAATGTCATCATTGGAAAACTGGTTCTCTTTAGCAGAAGTTTACCCTCAAAGTATGAAGATTGGGAAGCTGGCACAAAAGCTTTGCTTGACAAGGAGAGCCTGATTGGTGGAGGATCAATTGGGACAGTCTACAGAAGTACTTTTGAAGGTGGGATCTCAATTGCAGTAAAGAAGCTCGAGACTTTGGGAAGAATCAGAAACCAAGATGAGTTTGAAAATGAAATTGGAAGGTTAGGCAACATCCGACACCCTAATCTCGTTGCTCTGCAAGGCTACTACTGGTCCTCTAGTATGCAACTAATTCTATCTGAATTTGTTCCCAATGGAAACCTATATGAGAACCTTCATGGACTTAGTTATCCTGGCACTAGCACTGGGGTTGGTAATAGTGAATTGAATTGGTCTAGGAGGTTTAAGATTGCTATGGGGACAGCAAGAGCACTAGCATTTCTTCACCATGACTGTAAACCCCCAGTTCTTCATCTCAGCATTAAGTCCACTAACATACTTTTGGATGAAAATTATAAGGCCAAATTGTCTGATTATGGGTTGGGCAAGTTGCTTCCTCTGCTAGATAATTATGGTTTAACCAAATTCCACAATGCAGTTGGGTATGTTGCGCCGGAGTTGGCACAAAGTTTGAGGCTCAGTGACAAATGCGATGTTTATGGTTTTGGGGTGATTTTACTAGAGCTGGTTACAGGGAGGAAACCAGTGGAGAGTCCGGTGGCAAATGAGGTGGTGGTATTATGTGAATATGTTCGGAGATTGATAGAGAATGGCTCTGCTTCAGCTTGCTTTGATAGAAGTTTGCGGGGTTTTGCAGAAAACGAGCTGATTCAAGTTATGAAATTGGGATTAATCTGTACCTCTGAAACACCTTCGAGGAGACCAAACATGGCTGAGGTTGTTCAGATTCTTGAGTCCATCAGGAATGGATTGCAACCGTAGCAAGGGAATTAGAGAGTTGTTTTTGGACTGCCTCAGAGTTGAATTAGCAGTATTAGTCTACCTGCATGAGTATTTGGTTACAAAGTGGAGAGAATAGGAGACATCAGACATCTTAGAGCAAAGAAAAAAAAAACAGAAGAAGATTCTTTTGTATTCATTTTGGGTTTTTACCATTGTCAATTGTTCCTTGTAATTTCTGCAACAAGTTCATTGATTTTTTGTATCTAATTTGCAAATAGACAAGAACTATTGAGAATTCATACTTCATTCCATTTTTGAAATTGAAATAGAAGTGGCTTGTTTAATGCCCCTAGTCCAGTACAGAGAGCTTGTGCAGTGTTGTAAGAACATATTAGGGTTAAAAACAGAACGGTGAATAACAATGAAAATTTTCTTAACAAATCTATCTCTGATATAAGGAAGCTGCAGTGCAGCAGTCAATGCAGGCCAATCACAGCACTCAGTCTTATGAGCTCTCTTGAGGCTTTGTCCACCCACTGTCATTAGCAACATTTGGTTAGATTGACATAGACATGGCTTTTTCATGTTTACTTCTTTTGGGATCCCTAGTAGACATGTTTCTGGAAAACCAGAGCCCAATAATAAAGCCCCCTATCCAAACCACCTACAACATGAAAACCACCATTCCAGTGGCAACAACCAACTTCCCCCACCCTGTAACCACCTCAATGGATCAATCTGTGCTTTAATTCAATGAATTCATGGAGCTTGATTGAACACATGAAGAAAACCTATCTGATTTGAATGAGAAACAAGTTGCAGGAAGGGGGAGAGGGGTGATTGAGACAAAAGGAGGGGGTGGGGGAGCGGTTGAGCTCGAAGGTCACAGTGTTGGGGGATGGGGACAGGGACGTCATCTACTGAACCATCTAAGTACAAATCAAACACTTAAAGAACTCAATTAACAATATCAACACTTTGGGAACCAAAATTGAGATGAAATACATATTTTAAGAACCAATACTGTAGTATTTTTGCATCTTCATTTACATTAATTCTGCACAAGAAAGTTGGAAATGAATTTCGTTCAACATAGTAGCTACTTCTTGCTTGCTTTTGCATCAATGTTAAATGCCTATTCTAAAACCTCCAGAACTTAATGCAGCTAGGATTGATGAATTGTGAATCGGGTAAAAGATTCAGGTGCCCATAGGAGAAGAAACATGGGAATGAAGACCAAGAACAATGGCACGTAACCTTTTNAAATGCCTATTCTAAAACCTCCAGAACTTAATGCAGCTAGGATTGATGAATTGTGAAGCGGGTAAAAGATTCAGGTGCCCATAGGAGAAGAAACATGGGAATGAAGACCAAGAACAATGGCACGTAACCTAAATTCTCACCAAGTAACTCAGTAGCAACCCCCGCCAGGATCCTGGTAGACCTCTGGTCAGTTCCTGTGATAGGTGCGCCAATTTCATTCCAATCCAATCGATTCTAATCATTCATTGTATTCAACTTTCCATCAACCATGCACACGTTTTCATATATGGAGCAACTGAAATTCCAATGCAGTTCTCCTCCCAAGGAAAATCCTCGCATTTTCAGTCTTATTTATTGTGGCTTGATCCTGCAGCTCCTAAACCTGACAAGAACTTATCCTACCAAAGTATCTGTGCGATCTGCTTTAGCTTGAAATATAATGAATCGATTGTTAACTCAGCTGCGAGATTTACAGGTTTCCGAAACTTTCCGAATGCGTTCCACAACTAGAGGAATATCCTTTTCACTAATAGTTGTAATACAGAAGCGAAACCACCCAGGCTCAATACAGTGAAAGGAAGATCCAGGAGTTACATTAACCTTAGCAACGTTCAACAACTTATCCCAGAGCTCAAGCTCACCTTTCTCACTATACGTGCGGATCAAGCCACTCATATCCGCCCAACAGTAGAAGCCCCCACTGCTCTTCGTGCATTCAATACCCAATTGTTTTAACCCAGTTACAAACTTAGAATACATCCCGCGAAGCCTTTCTCTATTTATTTTGATAAACTTCTGAATGAATTTGGTATCTGAGAGCATAGAGACAAGCAGCCGCTGGGTTGGAACTGAAACGGATGAGAATCTTGCCAACTTTTTAGTAGCAGCAAGGACATTCTCATTGAAGCTATAGAGTACCCCGACCCTAAAACCCGGAAGAGAGAGGTCTTTGGATAGACCGTAAACTATGTGAACTCTGTTCCGGTCAAAATCTTCTGAATCAATGATTTCTGCCATGCTCACAAACTCCTCACTTCCATGATTGGACCCTGCTAGTATTTCGTTGGAGATTATGTGAATGTTCTTTTCTGTTGCGAAGTCCAAAAGGTTGTAAAGTGCCTCCCGATTGAGATGATTGCCCACAGGATTTGAAGGGTTTGAAATTATGATTCCACGAACTTTAAGACCGCGTTTCTTTGCCTGATTGAATGCTCGGTCAAGGGAAATTGTACTTAAACTGAAGTTGTCTGCACTGCGGCAAGGAACAGGTATAATCTCCANTCTTTTCTGTTGCGAAGTCCAAAAGGTTGTAAAGTGCCTCCCGATTGAGATGATTGCCCACAGGATTTGAAGGGTTTGAAATTATGATTCCACGAACTTTAAGACCGCGTTTCTTTGCCTGATTGAATGCTCGGTCAAGGGATATTGTACTTAAACTGAAGTTGTCTGCACTGCGGCAAGGAACAGGTATAATCTCCGCCCCAGTTCGCCATTTGACATCCCTGTCAAGACTGAATATTGTGTTTCAGGTTTAGTTTTCTGTGGAGGAAAAATAATACCAGAATCAGAAATTTTGGATTACATGTTAGGAAATTTACTCAGGGTAATAAGGCGAAGGAACAAGGAATGCATTTCCTGCATCCGCCAGGCAGAAGGTAAGCATCTCTATTGCAGGTGTTGCACCGGCTANAAATTTTGGATTACATGTTAGGAAATTTACTCAGGGTAATAAGGCGAAGGAACAAGGTATGCATTTCCTGCATCCGCCAGGCAGAAGGTAAGCATCTCTATTGCAGGTGTTGCACCGGCTGTTAATACTATCCGTGATGGGTTGAAGGACACTGGTCTTTCCATGACTTGAGACATGAATCCAGCCACAGCCTGCAGTACTGGTGAAATTAGCATAGGAACATAATGATTAAAGCCAACTCAATTGACTACAACACCAGTTACTCTGTTTAACTATAAGAAAACATCAACTACCGTTCACAGTATTGAAGATATGATGGCTCAGTTGAACAAAAAGCAAACTTCAATTACATTATCGTATAAGGCAAAGGCACAAATGTTCAGAAGAAATTATAGGCATTAATGAGAAAGCGCATGGGTGGAAATATCTAAGAGGTCATTAAAGAAGAGAAAAGGAGGGACATCCAGAAATTGAAAGTAGCAACTCATATCTGAACAAGGCCTTACAGTCCGCAACCATTGTCCCTCGGACAAGTACCACACGGGGATACAAGGGCAGGCATCAGAACCGTTGATGGGTCACATGCATTTGAATAGGGGCAAAGTTTTAAAATAATAATAATGAGGACAACAACAAACGCCAACAACATGGCATTAGTTATAATCACTTCATCAAAAAACAAACCAGAGTAAATGAAAAATAGCATCAAACGAAAATTCGTTGGAAAAATCATGGTTCTAACATCAATATAAAAAATTTGCAGCCAAGAATACTCTGGTAAACTAAGAGAATACCNCGAAAATTCGTTGGAAAAATCATGGTTCTAACATCAATATAAAAAATTTGCAGCCAAGAATACTCTGGTAAACTAAGAGAATACCAGTGCTAGTTTTATTCTATTTGAATCACCACATCACACGTGAAAATAGAAAAGCACACAANATCAAATGGCTGATAGGTAGCAATCCCACTTATGCTCAAATCTTGGCCGTCAAATGCGTCCTTTCCATTCTCCACTAACCATCCTTGAACCAAATCCAATGACAACTACAATCAACAAACAAGAGGAAACCCCACAAACTCATCGAAATTATAATACGAAAACTAATCATATCAATAGAATACGAGGGAAAAACACTTAAATGTATATAAAAATTCCTAGAACCATATCTATATGCATAAGCATACACCCACTTTGTTTTCAGCCAATCCAAGTTGAATTATGCCATCTGGGTTACTCGTTTCATCATATGGGTCCTCTGAAACTCTGTTCAATCCGACATAGTACGGGCCATCAGCTTGTTTTACTATGGAATTAGCCCTAGAAGATATGGGTGCAGGCGAACCAGAACCTCTGGGTGATAACAGAAGACGAGACTGAACCCTTTGCAACCCAGAAGAAACCTCCTCCAACTGATCCGCAGACGGCGACGTTGTTGTCTCCGCCGGCGGAGGAGTGGTGGGTCCACCAGAGCGGTTGCGCTTGAGGTAGAATTGCAAAAAATAGAATAGAGCGCAGGGGATTACTGAGCCCAATACTAGACCACCTCGGCCTTGGACTACACCTTGTAAGGGAACTATGACCCTCATGGCGGTTGTGGCTCCGCCACCGGAGCCCCTGGTGGTTGCAGTGATGGATTTAGTGGTGTCTTCGTCGGATTGGGCGGTGGGTTTTCGAGTTTGGGTCATCGTTGACACATGGTGGAGTCGCCGGAATATGACAAGAAAGTATTCTGGTTGTGGTGGTGGTGGTGATGGACGGAGGGTTCGAAGGAGTGTTGTTTAAGAGAGTGAGAGGGTAGCTCTCCCTCTCCATTATATATATATATATATTTATATATGTTCACGATAATTTTGATGATTTTGCGCGGTAGCTTGCTTTTTTCGAGAAAAGAGGATGAATCTAGTCGTTGGGATTTTCTGGGAATGTGTGAATTTACTGGAGTGTCCTCGGTGGAGTTTTTTTTTTTTTTTTTTTCTCTAAAACGATGAAATAATCAAACCAAAAGTTACAAGTGAATAGAATTAATTATAATTTATTTTGAAACTAGTAATAACTCAACTAAATTAAATTGAAAATAATTAGGATTAATTTCAGGGGACTCCTATTGTCTCGCCACCTAGAGACATCTTGGTGAAGAATTTCAATATGTCATTCGGTTACCTTTACATTGTGAGTGTTACCATGATCTGACAAGAGCTCTTGCCTCTTTTTAATTATTCAATGAATGAATGTGTTGTTGGTAAGAGTACAATCGGCAGGAACTTCTTGATTCGCTTTCGATCTTTTCTATCTATTCTCACACACAATTTTGTCACTAAACATTTTTTTGATCGGCGTTTGAACTCCTTCTATTTTAGTGTGTGCTTCAAAATCCAATAAGTATCTCTTAGTCTAAGTAGTTTGTTCCTTTGGAACAGAATAATCATTATTAGGGACTTGAATTTGTGACCTCGCAGAGGTGTTTTTTCAAACAAGCTAAACGTGCCCATGTTATATCAGAGAATGAAATACCTTATTTTTTAACTACAAAAAATTAAATTTTTAATCGAATCGAATGAGTAAAACGGAATTCAAAGCCAACGAAAACATTAGCCTCAACGCTCAATTTAAGCTGCCAACCAAGGAAATATAAAACTTGAGATAAACCCTATATTTACTTCGCCATATTGTCATTCTTAAGCCAACAAAAATATAGTTACTTCGCCCATTTGGATGCTTGAAAGAAGGGGTAATATAGGAAATTAAAGGAAACCTAGATGTGTACTATTGAAACTTCCATCAGCGACTAATCCTGTTGTGCATGTGGTCAAGAAACATTGTTTTAGTCTAAGGTTCTTATTTCTTTCTTTTGAAATCCCAAAGAATCTCCAAGCAACCAGTAATCTACCCTCATCATTTGGTCATGAAAGTCCTATGTTTGCTTGAAGACAAAATCCCAGTTTTGTCCCTTTCTATCATCAACCACAATCCCAAGCCCAGCTACGTGACGCAAAACGACCATAAACTAACAATCATGGGACCTCTTCTTTTTGTTACTAAAATAACAATTAAGAACTCTAATGCTCCGTTTGGTACGATAAAAAAATGAGAAGATGAAAAATTGGAGAGATAAATAAAACATCATCTTTGTTAAGGAAGGAAAGTAAGAAAGATGAAAAAGTAGATGAATTAACTTTTCTTCTAACTCACCAAAATTAATCCCTCCAAAATCAACAAAAAAGTGGATAAAAAGTTAATTATTTGTGTTGAGATATATCTTATTTATCTATATATCTTATGTATACGTTAATTTTATATAAAAATACAATGGTAAAATATGTATATATATTTTAAAAAAATTTAAAAATTAATTTAAAAAAATAAAAATAAAAAATTTAAATTAAAAAAAAATATTTGTTAACACGACTCGAATTCGATACGAAAATAAATAAGTTAACTCGCAATTAGATACGATATAATTAGTTAAATGAGTTAAGTTAGATTTGACTAATATTCGACACAATCTCGTAATGACTCAACACGACAGGACTCAACTGTATTGTCACCCCTAATCTTAGCCAGCATAAAAAAAAAAATAGTCATTTTTATTTTCCATCCATCCAATCTGTTCCGTTTGTTAGGAAGGATGGAAAGTAGGAGAGATACACTTCTATCCTTCAAGGATGAAAAATAGAAAGAATACATTTTCCTTCCTTTGTGTCTGGTTTGATGGATGAAAAATAAAATGACTATTTTTTTTTATGCTGGCTAAAATTAGGAGTAACAATAAAGTCGAATCGTATCGTGTCAGATTCGTGTTGAGTCATTATGAGTTTGTGTCGAATATTAGTCAAACTTAATTTAACTCATTTAACTAATTGTGTCGTATCAAGTTGCGAGTTGACCTATTTATTTTTGTATCGAGTTCGAGTCGTGTCATCGTATTGAGTCGAAAATTTTCACCCTTAATTAAGATGGAAAAAATATTTTTTTTTCACTTAAATTTTTTTTTTATTTTTTTTTTTAAATTAACTTTTAAAATTTTTTAAAATATATATACATATTTTACCATTGTATTTTTATATGAAATTAATATATACATATGATATATAAACAAATAAGATACATCTCAATACAAATAATTAATTTTTCATCCATTTTCCTTCCGATTTTGGAGGGATTGATTTTTGTGAGTTGAAAGAAAAGTTAATTCATCCACTTTTTCATTCTTCCTACTTTCCTTCCTTACCAAACATGATGCTTTATTTATCCCTCCAACTTTTCATCTTTCTAACTTTTCATCCTCCCACTTTTCCATCGTACCAAACAGATAAGAGGACTCTAAAATATACTTTGATTATTAATTTATATTCTCAAAATTTAAAAACTAGAAATTGTCTGTGTTTGGTGTTACTCATAAATTAGTTACAAATATTTGTTCAAACAAAAATATAAAGTAAAATACAACATTGTAATAAACGATGAACAAATAAGTCCGCTAATACTTTTTATAACATCAACCTAAATACAAAATTATGTTAATTGTTATACCACAAAAATTATGTTATAACTACTGAAACCTAATAATTCAAACATCTGAAAAATTATATCAGTTGACAATATTCAATATTCTGTTTTTGATTCAAAATTCACGATTTTAACATTTATAATCAATTTTATCTAAATAATAACATAATTCATAACTAATAGAATAAAAATTAAAACAATATTCTCACAACTAATTAAGTCTACAGATGTTGTCAAATGACCAAATATAACTATTAAAAATTCCACCGATTTTCAAAATATACGACCTCAGTGTTGAATTTGTATGATTCGAGTTTATAGTAGTGTTTTTAATTTTATATCATTTTTCTCGATTATTTATATTCTTAATATATTTTTTTAAACTAAACGTTATTTAGTATTAAATTATTTAGTAAAGATTGTTGTTTCGTGTTGTTCACTAAATATTGAATTTGTATGATTCGTGTTCATAGTATTACTTATTATTTTATATCATTTCTTTGTTTGTAATTTTATATCATTTTTCTTGGGTATTTAAATTTGGATTATTTAGTAAATATTATTGTTTTGTATTGTTCACTAAATATTGAATTTGTATGATTCATGTTTGTATATGAATTTAATCTTATATATTTTAAATGTTAAACATATTTTATTTAATATATCTCTTGATATCTGAGTTTCCCAATAACTTGAATTTAATCTTATATATTTTACATGTTAAGCATATTTTCTTTGTTAAATTAGATTTTTTGCAAGTTATGTTTTGTTTTATTGATTATGAAAAAATAAATAAATTTGACTATTGAATTTGTATGATTCGTGTTTGTAGTATTGCTTGAATGAAAGAGAGAGATACAGAACAATATTTTCATAATATATACTATATATCTAATATTTATTACATAATTTTCCTTCAGAGAGAAATATAAAGGACTATTGTCGTAATATATTATCTCTCTCTGTAATATATACTATCTATTTATAGAGAGATATGATATTTGCTTGAATCAGATACTCTAATATTTTTGTAAGATACAGAGAAAAATATTGTGAAAAAATGATATTTTTTGTGTGATTTGAGCGTAAGAGAAAGATACATAGGAATGAGAGGGAGATTTGTTTGATTTAAGGAAAAAATTTGAAAGAATTAAATTTTGGAATATCAATTTTGGAAACTATAAATTTTGAGCAGCAAATTTTTTTCAAAAGAGTTAATGTAGTACGTCGGATTAAAACGATCTGAGACGTCAATAGCTTGAGACAGTTTGAGATAATGCAGTCTATTGGATGATGACTTTTTTAGTTAGGAAACGTTCTGAACCGCTCTTTGTCTCCAAAATTCAATATCATTCCACTTTATTATATAGATTTTAATTTATACCCTCAATCTTATAAATTGGTAACATTGTAAACTTAACCCAAACTACCGTTCAATTTTTTATCATAAATCGAAGTATGTGAGTTACAAGTGTTTCGAGCATGGACTTATGTGTTAATTCACAGACTTTTGGCGTCACTTATGAGTTGTACATGATAGAGTTAAATTCTATCTAGTTAATGAAACCCTGTTTTCAATACACAAAGTGGTACCAAATTAATTGGAAACAAAGTTTCATAATAATGGATATACTTCATCCTCATGTCCAAAACACTTGTATCTCATTTGCTTTAGTTTATGATAAAAAAATGAACGGCAATCTGGGTCAGATTCACATTACTATAAATTCATAACATTGAATATACAAATTAAAATTTTAATGGTAGAGAGTGTAAATTGAGAATCAAAATATCTTTTAGGGTATAAAGTGAGATTAGCCTCACTTCCTTTAATGACACTAAAACCCACCAATCTTGTACCTATGATAAATAACATTCCTCCACATAATTAAATAAATATCATAACACCCCCATTATAAATACAAGCCCAACATCTTACCCCTCTCATTTTGTGATAAATGATCTATTATTAAGTGAAATTAACTAATAGTATAATAGAAATGATCTCAATCTAACAAATTTATAATGTTACGGTAAACTTCCTTCTCCTTGAGAAAAATAATCCTTTGAAAATAATACTCTACATTATATTTTTCACAACCACCAATACAAAATATAGCAAAAACGAGCTAGACAATTTTGTAAAAAACTGTGCGAACCCACGAGGACTTGCCAACTT